GCCCGCCCCGCGCCCATCGGGCCACCTGTGGGCGCACCTGGCCTCCCGTCCGCGCGGCTCCAGGCCCCGGGCCCGCTGGGGGGATGTCACACTGGCCGAGAGGGCGCACAGGGTGGCCGGCGGGTGAGACCCGAGGCGGCCATGAGCAGAGCCGGACTCCCTCGGGGGCCGACACGCCCAGGCCGTTCTTCTCACTTCAAAGGGAACTTCGGAGCGGGCGGGGAGGGATACAAAGAGAAAGTGAAACCAGAGAGAGGGAGGGATCCCGCTGGGCTGGTTTCTGATTCCCAGACCGGGTCTCATGCCCCAGGGTAAGGGGGTAGCCCCGAACCCCACCCCGCGCCCACAGTAGGAGTCCCATACCTGCCACCTCCAATGAGCTGGGCCATTTGCCCCTCAACCCCATCCCGCGGCGTTCTTTGCCCACCCGGTCCCCTCTCCGTCCCGCCAGCGCAGGATTCCGCACCTGCCCCCCAACACACCCACACGGGCACACACCCAGAGCAGTCCCACGTGCGCGGGCCCAGCGTCGGAGCCGCTGAGTCACCTGGAGGTGTTGGGGCCTGACAGGCGAAGTCGCCTGGGGGGGCCGGGGGGGGGGTCCTCGGATGTTTTTACAGCCGGAGAGGGCTCCTGGGGAGGGTGCAGGCTTTAGGAGAGAAAGCCTTGGGGGATGTAGCTCCTAAACCTCACCCCCACCCCCAATCATGAGACACGGGTGCTGCATGGGGGCGGCAGAGGAAGCAGGAGGGGTGGTCATAATCCATTGAACAGTGGTGGGTCCTCCACACCCACCCAGACCTGGCTGGCCAGCGCGACCACAGGTTAGTCCCAGGCCAGGGCGGCAACACTTTGGGGTGGCTTCACCAGACCTTCTCACGGTGCTGCGTGCCATCACAGCCGCACAGGGAGTGGGTAGCAAAGGTTTTATTACGTTCTGCAGTTGGGGAAGCTGAGGCTCAGAGAGGGGCGGTGACCTCCCCGGGGTTAAGCAGCGCTCCATGCAGAGCAGTGGCTCCATGTCTGCGTGTGTCCCTGGCGTGTCTGGAGGTCTGAGGGTGTCTAAGTGCGGTGGGAGGGTGCTGGGGTGGGGGCATTGATCCCGTGGGTGGATGCGTGGCCAAGAAGAGCAGCTTGACGCACAATGGAATTTTCCCTCCCGTGCCACTGCCGCCACTGCCACTGTCTGCCTCCTGGGAAGGAGAGAGGAAAGTGCTTCATAGGCCAGAAGCAGCAGGCTGGCCCCCCTCCCCCCCACCACCACCTCCTGTCCCCAGTTCTAAGCCCTGGTGCAGCCCGGTCCAGGGCAGACCCCTCTGCACACACCACTCCAGGCAGGTCACCTTCTCCAGCTACAGAGGGGACAGATGGGAGCTGACCACTAGAAGCCTCTGTGGCTCCCTCTTGCAGAAGGAAGCACCGAGGTGTGAACAGAAGGGAAGCTTCCGCAAAGGAAAGAGAAATCCAGTTTACCTGAGCTGGGGGCGGAGGCAGCCCTGGAAGGGCTGAGGAGTCTGATTTCATGATAGAAATGATGATGAAAATGATGATAGAAATGCTGGGAAAATATAGACAGTGGGGGCAAGGACAGGAGATGGTCCACAGATAGCCCTGCGATGGGCCGCCGGGAGCTGAGGCCTCACCCACGGCGAAGTTACCAGGTTGTGACAGCGTCACCCCAGACCCCTCGGGTCAGGGCGCCTCCCACGTTCATCTGGCACTTGCTGTGCAGCAGCACCGCTGCACCATCTCATGCCACCCTCACGGGGGACAAGGACCGTCTGTCTGTACACCTGCTGCTTCATGGAGGAGCTGGCCTCCCACGGCCAAGTGTGGCCACAGCCCAATGGCCTTGGTTGTCATGTTGGCACAAGATGGCCCTGGAGGAAGCTCCCTGGCATGTGCCTGCTACTTGTCATGGCTTTCTGGGACACCTGGCCCCGTCTAGGAGCCACTGGGTTAAGGCTCCACATCCCACGAGTTCTTGGAGGGGCTCGAGATTGGGGGGTCCAGTCCCCAGCCCTTGTGGGGAGTGCCCCACATCTGCCCAGCTGGTGGGCGCCTTCCCCAGCCGCCCCGCCCCCCTGCGGTCTGTCAGTGACCCACTTGGGGAGAAGCCAGCTTAGCAAGTGCTCTTGGTGTGACACCCGGCTATAGTGGGTGTTTCCATCCTGGCAGGCTGGCACCAGACCTGGGAGAAGGCTGCCATGTGGGTAACACGAGCCCCCAGGACCTTCACAGCCTGCGGCTCTGCGTACAGGGCCAGGGGAGCGCTGAGTCGGGGGCCCTGAGGGTGTGGGGGCTGCTCAGCCAGGGCACCCCATGACGCCCTCCCCTCCCGAGGCATTCTTCAGCTGCCCCCTCTGCCTCACTGCACCACCCACCCCTCCACCCCCCGCTCTCAGAGGGTCCCTGTCCCAGCAGTGTTGGCAGGGGCTCCTGGCTCTGTGCCCCGTACCCCCCACATTCCCCTCTGGCACTGAGCCTTCCACCAGGGCGTGGGGCAAAGGCTCCCCCAGGCCCACGGCACTCCACCGCAGGTGGCATGACCTGGTTGTGTAAGGCTGGCGCGCCCGAACCTGGGGGAGGATCTGGCGCCCTGCCAGCAGCACAGCCAGCCTGGGAACTGGGCTGAGAAAGCTGGGGGTGCGGGTGGAAAGACTGGCCCGGCCCACCCTGGGAGAGGCCCAGGGCGGGCAGGGGCCTCCATGAGCTCCTGGGGGTCATGCTTTTGCCCAGTGTTGACAGGGCACAGGCCTCAGACTGAGTCCCCAGTCCTGGACCAGACGGGCAGACGGACAGGTAGACACAGATAAATCCTCAGGTAGGCAGTTAGAGAGGTACCAGCGGGGCGAGTGGCCAGAGAAAGGCCCAACAGGAAGGCCTCAGGGATTGAGTGTGCAGGAGGGCGGGCGGGTGGGTGGCTCGGGCCAGCCCAGGCTGGGGCTCAGAGTGACGCTGAACTGCTTGGAGCTGTAACTCGGAACCTTCGGTATCTGGATGGAGAACGAGCCTGGGGTCCAAACATTGGCTTCAGCCCAGCTGGGCCACTAACGAGTCGTGCGGCTGCTCACCCCCTCGCCCCTCACCCCCTACCCGCACCCAAGGCCGGTCAGGCCCGCCCATCAGCCACTGCCCGCAGCAGGCCCAACCCCCACCCTCTCACCCAGGCTGGCACGATGGGGCAGGCCCCGTCCCCTCTTCCAGGAGCCGGTCTGGGCGGGGTTGGCTTTCAGCCAGGGGCTATAGACACATGCCCCTCCCCAAGAAACCATGCCAAGGGCCCCCTCCGCCCCAGGTAAGTTGTGAAGCCCTGCTGTAAGGCTGAGGCCTCTGGGGTCCTGCCGGGCCCCACCCCTGCCCGATGCAGGGGCCAGACGGCCGGGGATACAGAGGCCTTGTAAGTGCAGAGACCAGACAGCACTGAGGGAAGGACCTGGCGTAACTACAGCGTCAGCCAAGGGGAGTGAGGAGCTGATCAGCACTGCCTGGGGAAGGGCTCTGCCGGCTACAAGAACGAGAAAGATTAGGGCACGGGGAAGTGGGTGGGGGGCTACTGGGCCCAGAGTCACCCCACACCCTGAGGCACCCTCTGCCTCCCAGCCCCAGGCTGGTTCAGGACTCACACTCACGCGCTTCCGACTGGCCAAGTGTCCCTCTCACCCCCGAGGTGCACCACCCTCTGCCCCAGAGCCTGGGGACGGCTCCCCACACACCCTCCGTGTACACCCACGTCCTAGACCCACACCACTGGAGCCGGGCTTTGGGGCTGGGAGGGAGCATGCTGTATTGCCATCTGCCGACAAGGCTCTCAGGCTTTGCCGTGGAAACAGTAGGGGCGGCCACGGAGCAGGCAGTCAGCCACGTAGCCGTGTGTGTGGTCCACCCACTCAGGGCACAGCAGGAAGGAAGGGCTTACACTGCAGCAGGGGGGCTGCAGGGCAGACAGCAGGCAGCACTTCCTGAGAACATGATGTGTGCAGCTGTGGAGGCCCACAGACAAGTCTGCACCCTGTCAGTGGGGGTGTCAGCTGGTGCCCGGCCCAGCCTAGCCTTCCAGACAGGTTCCTGGGGTGGGGCGGTGGCCCTGGGGGGACAAGGAGTTCTTGGTGAGGCATCCGGGGTCCCCTCCAGGCTCCACAGTGGCTAGCGTCCTCCAGCACTCTGTCCTGAAGGTCATGGGGTGGCCTGTTGGAACAGATGCTGGACGTCTGAGGGGCCCTTCCTTCAGGAAGCCCTCCCTGACTGCTCCATCCCCTGCACAGTGTGTGCCCCACCCTAGAGGCCAGGGGAGGGGCTTGGCAGACCAGGCCCCTGGGAACAAACACATTGCCCACGCCTGGGATCTGGGCATTTACCACAGGGGAGCTGCCAGCCCCGCCAGGGTGGGGGCTTACTGGGCCTGGGGCCGAGGCACTGGCCCTGCCCTTGAGGCTCTGCAGAAGGGTTACTACTTCCAGGTTTCCGGAAGATTCCGCCTGCGGGAGAGGGGAGGCTACCTCAGGGACACTGGCCTGTAACCTGGCCCCTGACCCCTACTTGGTCCCGCCCACCAGGACACGCCTCTGGGACCGTTCGGCCACACCCACGACACCCTGGCGTGTCTCCTCCACTCTTCTGTCCCCATAGGAACAGGGAGGGGCCCAGGATGAGGGAGACAGCCCCCACCCAACCCCAGCACTTGAAGAGCGTCCACCAGGACAGCAGGGACAGCCCACATGTTGAGATTTGGGCGCTTGCAGGGGGCAGAGGGTGGGAGCGAGTGAACAGTCAGGGGGCCTTCCTGGAGGAGGGGGCAGGTGGAGCCAGGGCACTGCGGGCACTCACAACCTGCAGGGCATTATGCCCGTCATAGCCTGGCTGCCCCAGGTCTGCCCCCGCCTGCCACCACACCTGCAGGCCTTCGCCATCTGCCCGGGAGGCCAGCCTGGAGGAGAGAGGGAACTGTCGGGGCCTGCAGAGCCCGGCCATCAACCCCCCGCCCTGCCACCCTCCCCGACACACACCCAAGGCCAGCCCCAAACAGCTGACCCAGCAGCGCCGGGCCCTGCGGCAGGAGTCACCGGGCCGGCAGGAGACCTGGAGTCTGGTTTCATCTAGTGGGTGTGACGGTGACTCAAGTCAGAGGCGCGCACACGTATATACACACATGCGCGGCACACACGCGCGTGCACACGCACACATGCACCCCCGCCTGCTGGGAGCCCCGTGCCAGCTTCATCTTCCACAATGCACTGAGGAGGCACAGGCTCAGAGAGGGAGACGGGGCGCACAGGAAGCTGGCCCTGCGCCCCGCGGACACCTCGGGCTTCCCGGCTGGGAGGGGGGCTGGCGCCCCCCCTGCCCTGGAGAAGGTGGGAGAGGGGCCAGCGCCCACCCTACCCTGGAGGAGAAGTGAGGGAGGGGTGTGGGGCCCCTCCAAGCCCTCACCGTGCCACCTCACTCTCCTCTTCCAGGAGACCACTCTGACCTTGGCTCGGGGGAGGGGTGGGGAGAGGGTCTCCCCCAAAGCGGCCCCAGGGACTGGGATCCTAGACTGCAGCACCTGGGTAATCCCAGGGTGAATCACGCCCCTCCCAGGCCCCCCCTCTCTTCCACCCCCATGTTCCCCTTAGAGACACCTTCCTCCCCGCTCCATCTCCCCCAAGCCCACCAGGCAGCTCAGGGACAAGCCTGCACCCCCCCTAAAAAGCCTAGGACACTGGTATTGTCCCTGCTCCCATGGGGACCAGCTGCCCTCATCCAGCCTTGGTTTCGCCATCTGTCAATGGAGGCCTGCCTGGGACCCAGTCACCGGGTCAGTGGAGCCCTCCTCCGATGGTCTCGGCAGGTCCCCTGCTGACCTGGGCTCCCTCCAGCCCATCCCCCAGGTGGTCGGCAGCACTCACCTGCACAGCTCTGTCCCCGCGTCCTCCAGCTCCTGGGGGGACAGGCAGGCCCCAGCTGCCCGCAGCAGCCCAATAACACCCCGATGCCTGCCGTGAGAAAGCCGTGCTAGCCACCTGCCCCCAGGCCTGGGCCCTGCCCAGATACTCACGGGGGCTCTCCAGCCTGCCCGGACCCCACGGCCCGCCCAGGACCCCAGACCAGGGCCCTCTGCCCAGGCCACTTCTCCAGGCCCCTACCAGGCCACCAAGGGTCGGAGGGGACTTCACACCGGAGGCCTCATCAGCCCTGCTGAGCAGCCCCTCTGTCTGCACCTTGATCCCTGCATGGTCTTCCCCAGCCCCTCTTGACAGCCCAGTGCACTCCCCGTGGGCACCTGGGGACAGCCCTGCCCTGAGCTGGCCGGCCCCGCTCATCAGCTACATGCCCTCAGACAGCCTGCCCAGGCCAGGCCCAGGGCTGGGTCTGGGGAAACCCAGTCGACCCGGCCCGGGCTCTGCCATTGAGGTCAGGTGGGGATGGGACACTGGGCAAAAGAGTGGGGCCAGGGTGGCGAGGATGCCAGGGCTAGGGGCAGAAATGGGCCACATCACCTGAGCTGAGTGGGGGCAGGGGCGGGCAAGGCCAATATGCAAAGGCCCCCAGGCCACCCAGTGTGGGGCAGTGGGAGGGTACCGCCTACATCACAGCAGCTGAACTAACAAGGCCACTTCCTTTGTACTGATCATGCGGTGACCCCACAGTTAGGGAGCATTAGGAGGAAGGCCCCAGAATTTGTGCTCCCCCATGGGAGCCCTTTGCGGGGGGCTGGCTGTTCTGTGCCCAGTCGGGCAGGTGGGCAGCCTTGGGGAGCCTGCCAGGGGAGAGAGTTGGGGAGCCCAGACCGGTCTGGGGGGTGTTGTGACACCGGGGCGGGGACGAGGGGCCCGGATGGTGAGCTCACCTGCTACCCACCCACGCCCGAGGACGCCAGTCTGGAATCTCAGCCCAGACCACCTGTGGCTGGGTGCCAGGGCCTGGCCCCTCCCACACACTCCCAGCCTCACCCTCCCAACCACCCGCCCCCAGGCAGGCCTGCGACCCGGAGGCAAAGTAATTCTCCTCACACTCACAGGGGCCCAGGAGGAAGGGTCTACTTTGACCTCAGTTCACAAAGGGTGACACAACCTGCCAATGACTCACAGCCGGGGGACCACGGCCAGGGGTGGGCACCCAGGATCACAGCCGGGGGATCACGGCCAGGG